TCCTTTGATTATCCAAAATCCATGAAAACCATTGTGCTCCTCACTTTCTCTCTCCAAAATTTGAGAGTTTCTCTCTCTAAAAACCTAAAACTAACCTAAAAACTATTCTAAACTGAAAAATCTCTCTTTTTTTAATGAGCAAAAAAAAATCTATTTATACCCCTTACAAAATTGCTTAGGAAGCTCCGCAAAAAGTCAGCTGAAACGGGAAAAGGTCCGACCGAACTCTATGTAGGTTCGGTCGGACTCAGGGTAGGTTCGGCCGAACTCAGGGTAGGTTCGGTCGAACCTCCCTGATCCTTGTTTGGTCGAACTTTCCTGGTTCGACCCCTCCTGTAAACATGCTGAAAACTTGGTTGAAACTGCCTTGGAGGTTCGGTCGAACTTTTCAAAAGTTTGACCACACCTTGGTTCGACCGAACCTCTTAGAGGTTCGGCCACACCTCCTCATGAACTTCCTCTTCTTGCTTCCTCTTCTTCCCTTTTGATCCTCTTGTCTTTGTCCATGCCTCCATACTTGTCCAAGGGGCCTCCTACCGTGCTTAGGACCGTCATGGAACCTGCAAAAGATAGCAAAGATCACGAGAGCATGGGGATGATAAAATTATGCATAAAGATTATCAAAACAAGCGCAAATAAGCATACTTTTCATCCATAAAAGAAAAGGAAGCCATAAGAGGAGAAAAGAGGTAGAAAACCTAAGAAAAACAGGAGAAAAGAGACCAATACACTACCCCTAAGGGTAACATAAATGTCACTCATCAAACACCCCCAAGCTTAACTTTTGCTCATCCTCGAGCAAAACAAAACAAACACAACGGAAAACGATGTATATTTTTTTTTAAAAAAAAAACAATAAAATAAAATAAAACTAGAAGAGAAAGAATATACACTAACTCACTTTCATAGGAATCACGAATGCATTTAGCGCATGCATCAAGCACTTTAAACCCCATAGATTGCTCTAGAGGACGAGTAAGCTCTCGTAAGGGTGTCCTAAGAGTTTAACCCATAACTCTTACAAAAATCAAGGCAAGGCAATAAATAAAATAAAATAAAATAAATCGAAGTAAGAGAAAAGTTACAAGCGTTCTAGAGTGGACTTTTATGATGGAACAAACACTAATGAATGTCAATCTTTCTAAAATAATAAAGGTATGCACGTTCTAAGATGTCCAAGGTTGATTGAAACATAACATATGCTAAGCATAGAGAACTAAAGGAAACACATTCCACCTTTTGTTTCAACCAATCAAACCACGTTCTCTCTACTAGTTTCAAATCCACTTTCAAGTTAGCTTCTCATGATTCCACGAAGAAACCGGAAAATAAATAAGAAATTAAAAACATTGAGAAGGTTACCCGACATCTTGGCTATGCAAACTCGCTCAATAGGCTTGATTCCTATTTCCTGCCATCATTGAATGACTTAACCCTCTAGGATCAAAAGGACTTTCAAGGTATTAACATATAAGCTAGGAGAGTAAAGGTGTGGAGAACTTTTGAAATTGGTGGTAAACCTATGTGAAGCACGGGTGGAACTTCTTCCACAAGATCCAAACGATTCCAAAACAAAAGTGCCAAGTATGCTTATTAAATAACTTTCCCCCAAGCTTATTTAACACAAAATAACAAAAACAGGGAGAACAACAATAACAAAACCCCTTTTTTTTTGTGCTTTACATTCTTCTTTACCTTTTTTTTTCAATAATTCCTTTTTCCAAGCTTTTTTTTTTTTTTTTTTTTTTTTATATATGTCCTTGCCTCTTTTAACTTTGGACGGCTTTTTTCTCAAAATGTATTTGGTTTTATGCAAAAAGTTATATACAACACATACTTGCTTTGCAAATGAACTTATAATTCTAAACTTGCACCATAAAAAGTAAAACAAGCTCGAAAACTAAATTGCTTCACAAAACTAAAGGTAGAAAGTGAAACCAAGGCTTCAAGGCTTGTATTGTGGCTAGAGAAAAGAAGGTATATGGCTCAAAAGGGCTAGCAAGAGGGGCAAATATAAACTAAACTCAAAAATAGAAAATCTATCCTATAGAAAGAGAAATTCCTTTGTCATCCCCTAAAGTGGCACGGTCGCGATCTTGGGAGCTAAAAGTCAAGTTCTAGATACGAGAATGCAATAGCCAAGGATCCAAATATGCCGCTCAACAAAGTATGATGAAGGCTTGAACAATTTACCTCACTAGGGATAGCAATAACTAACTCTTGATTTCATATCCACCATAGAGAGCAACTCCATCTTACCACAAGCAAGTGAACTAGGGCTTCATGGTCTCAAAGTTCTTAACAACTACCTTAGCATATCATATCCTAGAGTCAACCTAACACATTCTCAAACCGTGCATACCTTTATAATTTAGGAATAAAGACATTCAAGAATACAAGTCCAAGCGTATTATGTCAAAAGTAAGAACAAAACAAAACACATTGCAAATTTGCCTTGATAGAAACAAAATCTTTTTGGAATTTTCAAAATAAAGAAAATGGAAATGCATATACAAATGTGCATGGCATATATGAATCAAAATTCCACCAAACATGATAGAATACCCTCCCCCAAGCTTGAATGAGGCAACATGCTCAAACTTTAAACCAAAGAATCCATGGGAGGCGATGGGATTTTGCACTACCCACTTAGGAAAGCTAGTCCAATACTCAATCCAACAGGGAATTCTTTCGGCCTTAAAATTCACATCCTTGGGAGCATCACAATCTTGTGGAGGGATAATTTGTTTTATCCCGCATTGTCTCATAACCCTGCAAGGAAATATGTAAGTAGTACAAGAAAGGCCTAAGAGGCGAATTTAGGGACAATTATTAGAACTATTCCAAACCATACTACTTATGTTCCACCAAGGAATCACATAGCGTATGTTAGGAACCCAATAACATTAAAAAGTCGTCAATTCTTCCTCATTCTTATGTTTGTAGAGAATGCGACGACCAGGAAACGATCTCACTCCATTAGCCTTAAGATTTTGTGGCTTATCAACGATTCGCAAGCGCTCTATCAGCCAAATCTGGAATAAAAAAGAAAAAAAAGAAAGTTAGATTGCGAATACTACAACAGCAGGTGGCGCGTGCAACGAAAACAGTGTCGCGCGCCATCCGCTCGAAACTGTGACACTTGGGCTAAGCATACCAGCACAACCTTCAAAGTTGCGCACGCTGACGAGTGCGTAAAAAAACGTATGTGTAAAAGGAGTGGACTTCCGGTGAAACCATTCTCGTTTGGATCACCTCTAAGCCGATTCAAGCAAAGCACAGTTTCCGCCAAGGCCAGTGGAGCTGGTGAATGACATCCATCTATTAGCTCAACTATGGACACCGTTGAATAATCTCCATATTCTTAGCATGTCCTAAGTAAACAATTGACAACAAGACAAAAACATAAAGGACGAATTTTAAAACGTTGTTTAGTTAAATTGTTTCGAGGAGTTACAAAATGTTCGATGAATTGAATTAAATTCACGCCATGATTCGTATTAATTTTGGCCATATCATTGTCATTAAAGCCAAAAAATAGCTGAAAAGCAGGTTTGGAATCTGACAAGTTAGGGGCATAAGTCACAGGGAGAGTATATGCAGGGAAGCCTAGTAGAGCTTCAAACTCGCCATGTAATGGGGTCGTTTCATCCCTTTTGAAGAGGAAAATATGGTGGTTAGAGTCCCAATGGTTAACAACGGCATGAAGAATATCAATATTAATATTGAGTTGCATGTAACTTAGTAAAGCGTCTAGATGGAATATTTTAAAAGCTAGCTTATCCTCACTAGAAAGGGGGGGTTGACTAGGGATGAGCATGGGTCGGGTACCCGTACCGTTAACACTATCGGTTCGGGTACCCGATAACCAATAACACTAAATATGATATCCACTAACCAAACCGATATGTTCGGGTACCCGGATTTTCAGATCGGTTATCGGGTACCCAATATGCTATCCAATAATGAAAATTTAGACTTTATAATCTAGTTATTATGATATCATTCAACACTAACTTACAATAATACCATATAATCATGACCAAATTACTAATAATTTTACTAACCATTTAAATTACGAAGTGATTATGAAGTAAAGTAAGAGTTTAGATTTTGGATAAATAGATTTAAGTAGGGAAAAAAACGAAAAAATTTGCTTATCGGATCAGATCGGGTAACCTTTAATTTTAAAATGATACCCAATAACCGTACACGATAACAAATTATCGAATCGGGCACCCGAACCGTTATGGTTATCGGAATGGGTACCCTAATTTTCGGTTCAGTTATGGTTTGGGTTTTTGGCTTTTCAAATAATTTTACTCAGCCCTAGAGGTGACTATTGTAATACTAAAAAAAAAACGAGTAATAAAAATCCTTTTGAGCTATACTAATTGTTAATGTTGAATGAATGTGAAATGATCAAAAGCCTAGACGTAACCGTGTTTAAATAGACTAAAACGGTCCAATTTTTGGCAAAATTCGCTCAAAGGAAAGTTCACCCGCAGGTGCCGCGTGCAACTCAAGAAGTTACGCTCGACATCTGCGCGCAACTGATTCACCTGCACGCGACGTCCGCACGCAACCTACAGAGTTGCGCGCTCTTAGTCTGTTGCAGAAAAATTTTGGTTGTTTCCGTGTTTCACTTAATGAATAATGGAAATTTTATTACGGTTTTATGATTAACTCACACGCTTGCCTTTTTTTATTCTCCTTTTATTTTCCTTTTTTCTTTTCCTTTTCTTATTCCTTTTTCTTGTTTTATTCTACTTTTTTCCTTCCCTTTCCTTTTTTCGTTCTTTTTTCGAGGGGGGAAGGTAAGTCGGGAACCCTTTCCCTCAGAAATTTTTGCAATTTTTTGCGCAAATATTTTTATGGAAAATGAAAATATGATAAAATACAAATGGCGATATATACAAAATACGTCGTATGTACAAATATCGTATATATCAAAATAAAAAATATATACATTTTCCATAAATCAAAATAAAAAAGTGGAATCAGGGTGCTTGGTGACTTCCGGAAGGTTGCTGCACATCCTGAAAAATCCGAATCAAAGATTAATATACATTCATTCATGTAATAACTTTGATAAAAAAAAACAAAAAAAAAAGAAAGATAGAAAAATTACCGCGACCATCCGATGATCACGACATGACAAAGCCACGAGTTCCCTCCGATAAGTAGCTTGGAAAGCTCGAAGAGTCCTCACCATGCCATTCACGGTCTCCAGCGGAACCTTTTCCAAAAATGGAAAGTTACAAAAACGTATATGATAGATAAAAATTTATGTACATATGTGAAATAAACTCAACCGTCTCTGGGACCACTAGTAGAAAAATATAAATGGGCACCGTCAAATGCGCACCGGTTTTTAAAAATACCACATAATATAGCTCCCCCAAGCTAGACTTGGAAAAAGTAACCAAATTGGGGCTAAGGGGTAATTTTGTGAGGTTTACGAAAAATATAGATAAGCTACAACATGGGTGAGCTACAAGGGAACAGATGTTCTAAATTCGTCTGGTGGTCACCTAATGAACATGGCCTTCGTCAATTTCAACGTGCACGTGCAATGCATTATGACACACTACTAAAAGTTTAGAATCAAAACTAAGATCAATGTCACACTAGGAACTAAACACACATGAATGAATAAATAAGGCTCAAGCCTCACGGTTAACACAGTCAAGCTCCTAAATCATACATGGTTAACAACATTGACTCCTACTAGGGATCAAACAATTCGAGGTCAAATCATGATCTTTTAGTCCGCAATGCAAGTCTTTCAATCGAAATTAAATCAAAAACCTTTTTGGCATTAAAGATAGGGGCACAGGGAAGTAGTTCATTGGAACATATTTTTGGATTTTTTTTTTAAAGCAATAAAAACAATTAAAAAAACCTAGTCTAATCACACCAAAATAAAAAGAGAGAGTGAAATATATACCTTGTGTACACAAGAACTTCCCCCCAAGCTAAATCAGACAATGTCCTCATTGTATTAAAGGGAAGCTAGTAGTCAAGGTGACTACGCCTCATCATCATCACCCAAAATAATGTCACCAAAGCCTCGAGGATTGCAATGCATCTCTTTGGAACAAATTTGAGCAAGAATGAAACAAAGTGTTAGTGGGAAAAAAAGATAAAAATTGAGTCATGTGAACTATTCTGATCATAACTTTTGATATATAAAATATAATGCAGTGATTCTAATTGCATTGGAAATTAGACTTGAAGAGCTTTCCGACGATAGGTCACACACAAACATACGTTAAGTAACGCAAAAGTTATGGCCTGTCGAACTTGAGCAGTTTTGCTGAACCGTACGCGCGCCCGGTTTGACCGGGCATGGGCTGCCCGATCGGGCGCGAGAAGCATGAAAGAAAGAAGAATTAGAGCTAAATCTCAACCCTCACCGCCCAGTCAGACCGGGCATGGGCTGCCTGATTGGGCGCGAAGGGGAGTGAAAGTTTCAGCGAATTCAATTCTTCTTTAGCTCAAAATCTGCACAAAAACAAACTCCCACAAGTATAAGTTACACTCTCCTTACCTCTCTAAGAGCCAAAGAAAAACAGAAACACACAAAAATTAGAAAAGAATAAAATAAAAATAATAAAATACGGGTTACCTCCCGCAAAGCGCTACTTTATCAAGGTCTTAAGCTTGACCTTCCTTATTAGCTCAGCCTGGGTCACCACACAAAGAAGAAACTCCGCGATGTTGCCCATAAAAATATCCGCCTCCAAATGACTCCTTCATTCTATATTTGACATGCTTTGTATCCGAACTTACCTTCATGTGGCTAAACACATCAATTGGTGGAATATTGTCCTCGTTTCTCAAAAGATTTCGATCAAATACACACTTATCAACCAAAGGGTTAGTAGTATCAATTCTTAAACAAGTACCACCATCAAATATAAAATTGTGTTCATTAAAGAGCTTAAACATTACTTGTTTATCCAGGGCCCTAATGGTCACTTGTTTGTTAGGAACATCTATTAGAGCTTGACTTGTGGCAAGGAATGGACGACCAAATATAATCGGGATCTTATGGTCTTCTTTCATATCCATAACAACAAAATCAACAGGAAAAACAAGTTCACCAACCTTAACTAATACATCCTCAACCACACCCATAGCAGTCCTATCAGTCATTTGAAGAGAAATAGGGGAAGGTTTAAGTTTTTGCAGACCTAATTTTTCATATAATGAATAAGGCATTAAATTTACACTAGCACCTAAATCACACAAGACCCTGTCAAAAAATATTTCGTTTATCATATAGGGAATAGTAAAACTACCAGGATCATGCAGCTTAGGTGGTAAGCTATCACGTAAAAGAGTAGAGCGCTTCTCATTTACTACTTTCTTATCATCATGTTGATCTTTAATATTCTTCACAAAATTTGCAAATTGAGGCATTTGAAATAAAAGATCGAAAAAAGGAATAGAAGCATATACCTTCTTGAGAGTCTCGCAGTATTTCCCAAAATGTTTATCGAGCACGGCTTTTGACAACCTTTGCGGGAAGGGCATAGGATCCTCATAGGCCGGTGGAGCAACATATTTGGGGATTTTTACATCCTCACACTTTTTATCTTTTCTTGACTCCACACTGCTCACTTTCTCATCTATTTTCCTCGAAAATGATTCATCTCTTCTCAAGAAAACTACATTGCATTGTTCTTTTTGGACTTTTGCTTGATCATGAAGAGTTGATAAATGACTCACTTGTTGTGAAAGTTGAGAAAGGTGAGTTTCTATCCTCTTGTTTTGAGCAATAAGCAATTGATTCAAGCTTTCAAAGTGTTCATTTTGCTTTTCTTGTAGCTCGAATTTCTTTGTCATAAGCTCTTGCTGTCGAAGTAGGGAGGTAGTGAAAGTCTCCATGATGGAATCAAGATTGTATTTTGAAGTTTGCGGTGGTAATTGTTGATTCATGGGTTGGTGATTAAAATATGCCCTTGCTTGAAAACTAGGTGGTGGTGGCGGAGAATACAATTGAACTTGAGTGTTCGTATAGGAGGAGTCCTGATGATTTCTCCAGCCTTCATTGTATGTGTTTGAATGAGCATCATACGGCCTTTTAGGTTCCGTAGTATAGAAGGCATTTGCTTGCTCGATTGACATTTCATTAGAGGGCGGTTGACATTGTGGAGTAATATGGCCTTGAATACCACATAATTGACAAGTTTTGAATGAGGTGGAAGAGGATCCAACTTGGATTTTATCAAACTTGCTTGTTAATGCTTGTACAGAACTTGTCAAGAGAGTTAAAGCATCAACATCAAATTTTCCTCTAGTCTTCACGGTATTTCTGTCCCCTGGGTGATAATTATCATTGGCTGCCATCTTCTCAATTAGCTCCTTGGCTTTAGTTGGGTTCTTAGCCATGAGAGAACCCCCGGATGCAGCATCAATGTATATGCGGAACTCGTGGGTCAGACCATTGTAGAATGTTTGGATCAACAGCCACTCTGGGATACCGGTGATGAGGGAATTGTCTCTGTAAACGCTTGAATCTTCTCCATGCCTCACATAAAGACTCATCATCAGATTGACAAAAGGTAGCTAGCTCGCTCCTTAACCTAGCAGTCTTTTCCTGTCCTAAAAACTTTACTAGAAAAGCTTTCACTGGCTTTTCCCGTGTATCAAACGAGCCAGTGCCTTCATCTCTCAACCATTCCTTCGCCCTATCCCGTAATGAGAAAGGGAAAAGGCGAAGTCTGATAGCATCATCTGTAACACCATTTATTTTCATAGTATCTCATTTCTCCAAGAAACAATCAATATGACTTACCGGGCAATCATGTGGTGTGCCTGCAAAAGAGTCATTGGAGATGAATAGAATGAATTGTGGTTTCAATTCAAAGTGTTGAGCAGTGACAGGTGGCCTTACAATGCTAGAGAGGAGTCCGGTTGTCGTATCAGGAATACCGTACTCCAAAAGAGATTTCGTTCTTTGGTCTACCATGTTTCTATTATGTCGATTTCTTGTTCTCCTTCTCCTTATAGTTGCCTCAATTTCAGAGTCAAATAGTTCAAGATCGTCTGACCCTGAACGTCGTGTTTGCATGAAACAAGAAAACTAGAGAGAGAATATCAAAAACACAAGAGAAAATAGCCGAAGCAACGAATAAAGATTAGCAAAAATGAATCACAAATAATCAAATGAAACTGTTAGTCCCCGGAAACGGCGCCAAAATTTGATAGGCGTTTCTCGTACCTAACAAAATAACCTAACTGGACCATTACTATGTAGACGGGCAAGTAAGGATCGAATCCCAAGAGACTAAGGTTCACCTAAATTATCTAGACTCAAATAATCACTAAGCAAGAATCAAATTAATGGTGGAATAAGCTAAGAACTAATGTATGAAAAACTAGAATTAATCAAAAGAATATAATGAATCAATATATTAAACATCCAAGATCAAGTATCACCACAATTACGATAGTTGCAATTATCTATCTACCCCTAGCATACAAATCCAATGAACATGGGGAAAAGTAAACCCTAATCAATACCAAGGACCTCTCTCGAGTATCAATGGCTTCTCTAACCACAATCAAACCTATTCTCATGGATCATGCAAATTAGAGACATTAAACACTTTACTTCACTTCCCAATTATCAATTCAACTACTCTCGTGATGAATTTCAAACCCTAAATTGATCTACTCAAATCCGTTAAAACCCAACTCTCGTTGTGATTAGAACTATGGAATAATAACAATACTAATTATCTCTCATCTAGTATGGGCATAATCACAATCAACTTAGCATAAATAATTGCAATAGTTATTAGAGAAATTAAAGAATCAATTCATGCATCAATCATAATTGGGCTACCCTAGATCTTGGAATATAAAACTACTCACACATATTAAAATAAGCAATAACAAAAATAATTAAAGAAAACATAATTAAAAACAATAATAATTGAAAGACAAAGGAATAGAGATGAATATCAATGATGCTTCAATTGAAAAAACTCAAATTGTTGATCAACAATAATCAAATCTAATGAAGTAATTAAATTGCTTGAAAGAAATAAACTAGGGTTCTAGAGAGAGAAATAAAACTTAAGGAATTAATTATCTGTTTTCTAATGAGGATTACAAGGGGTATCTATACCCTTAATGAAATAAAATCCCGAAAATAGGAAAATCAACTTGCGCATAACCCGGCCCGGTCAGACCGGGCGAGCACCGCCTGATCGGGCAGGTGGTACCTCATTGCGCTGCATCTTCTTCGTAGCTTTCTCCTCGTCGCCCGATCCAACCGGGCAAAGGCTGCCCGATCGGGCGCGAGGCTCAATCTTTGCTGCTGCCTTGTCTTAGTCCTTCGTAGGATGTAGCTCATAGCAGCCCTTCTGTGCCCGGTGCAACCGGGCAAGCATGGCCCAACCGGGCAAGCATGGCCCAACCGGGCACAGTAGAAACAGGGTGTTTGCTTGCATTGCTTCTCAGGCTTAGCTCGTGTTTAGCTCGGTTCTTCATCCTTATTCACTAACATCTCCATAAACGTTCAAAACGTGTCCGAATCATCCAAGAAGCTCCAAATTCCTGTAAAACTTACGAAAACACATCAAACACACTAGAGAAGAGATTGTTAGCGAAAAATGGCTCTAAAGAGCCTAAAACCATGCAAGAATGTGATGTAAAATCGGGATAAATCTATATATAAAACGTGTACATCACTTGGAACATGGGGTTATTGTTCATAGCTAAGTTAAGTGTAAGTTTCTTTGCATGTTTTTTTTATTGGCCTTGTTAGTTCAGATTAATAATCATCATGAAGAAGCAAAGATAAAATACAACAAAACCAATGCCAAAGCATTCAAATATGGGGTTGAGTGAATAAACCAAGAATCTATTCTTGTGGTTGTCCACGAAGATCCTCTTCCTCCATTCACATTATATCAAGGGCTACATGCTCTTGCAAACCAATTTCCTTCACACTATCTTTACCTTTTCCATTCAAATTATTTGGTCTTGCTTTAATTCAAGTAGTTATGCATATGTAAATTACTTATTTTCTGACGGATTTTTAATTCCGTAAGAAAATTCCGACGGATTTCCGATGGAATATTTGAATTCGTCGGAAATTTCCAATGGAATTAAATTCCGTCGAAAATTTTGGTTTTTCAGACGGATTTTTGTGCCCGTCAGAACGTTTTCATCAGAAATCGACTGTTTTCTAGTAGTGTTCTAAGAATACAATTGATTATTCATGTTGTGTGCTTGAATGAATTGGTTGATTGCTTGGATGCCTCTAAAGGGTGATGCCATTCTCCTCTAGTTGGCTGGCATGACTGCTTAATACTTTTGTTATATATTTTTGGCTTGCATTTTTTAATTTGTGTTGGGGTGAGGTTGAGTTATATTTGGCTGCTGCAGCCCTACCTTGCCAAGGCTGTTGTTGCAGGTGGCCTGGCAAGGCTGCAGCTGCTGATGCCCTGCCGAGTTTAGGTTAAAGGAATCAATATCTTGGTTTCTGAGCTCTCTGACTTGGTAGGAGAGAGGAGGGCTTGCGAGGACTAGTTCCACACTTTCACCCTTATTAAATGCGAGCCAATCCATTGATAATTTCAATTGGATACATGTTCATGTTTTTTTAAAGATGGTTAACTTATTTTAATTTGTCTGCTCTAATTTCAAATAGTTCGTTATTTTTTTTTAGATTGCAGATACTTATGTGAAGGCTAGAACATGTAATTCTGAGTGTGTATAACTCGTGAGACGTCAAATAAGGTATCAAACTAAACCTGTTATTACTTACCATGCTCTGTTTTTTACTCCGCTTTTTTTATCCTACATTATTTATCTCTCCTGTCTTTGCACAAACGAATGCTCCTGTTGACTTCTTTATGGTTAGGCATTCTAGCTTATACTCTATACTATGTATTTTTTTCTAACATTTCCCTTTATGGCTCTCTATACACACACACAAAATAAAATAAAAAAGGAACATATTCTTACATTCTGGTTGTTTAGAAAGGTTTGTTTGCAGTTTTCCATGTTATGTCTTTGAAAACTGTGGTTGGCATGTATTGTTATGTCATTTTTCACTTCTGCATGAATAGAAATTTTCATTTCTTGAGCAGTGTTGTGATTTTTGATGGTGGTCATGTACTGTATTGCTACGGATACAAGCGCCTTAATCACGGCTGGACCTTATGGCCTGATCTCTTCTTCATTCGTACCATTCTTTGATATTCCTGTGTCAACACGATTTCGATTGTTTGGTTTTCACTTCTCTGACAAATCTTTCATATATCTGGCTGGTCTTCAGGTAATGCATTATTATCTGGTTTTCTTCAACCCTTATACTTTGTATGATATGTGGCTCTTTGCTGGTGTCATTTTTCCATCTAAACCTTTGACTTCATTGATTCCCCATTTCTCCCATGTCATTCCATCCTTGTCCTTACTGCAGTGTTTATTTTGTAGTTGCTTCTATGATCTTGGAAAAAATCGATTTTGCCAGGAATATGTGGCACCATTGCTGGTTCCTTATACAGAATGAACATTTTACATCCCCTCGAAATAAAAAGGTTGTTGTAATTTTTGTTGTCCTTTTTATTTTTATTTTTTTTTTTGATAAAAAGTGTAAATATTTCCTAGTTATTAATGAAAATAAATAAGTTTTCATATATATATTGTTTGCTGACCATTTTAAGAGGAAAAAGGCAAAAAGTGTTTTTTTTTTCTTCAGTTACTTTGGGCACCAGTTAACCGGTCCCAAATGTAAGGAAAAGTAAATTTTTTTTTTTTTATTTTCACTTATTCGCATCGGTTAACCGGTGCTAATAACCCTTATGCACACCAGTTAACCGGTGCTCTTAAGGATTATTCCCACTGGTTTTGAACCGCTGCAAATAAATTCAGTTTTTGGCATCCCTCGAATGACCAACGATTCAAAACCAGTGCGCAAAGCCGGTTTTGAACCGGTGCTCATTTGCATTATTCTACTAGTGGACAAATGGTATGTCCTCATTGTCTGCTGCCGGAAGAGTCTCGTGGATCACTGATCCAAAAGCGTCGGTGTACGAGATCTCTGCCACAAGAGCCACCCAACAACCCAGCTCGATCTCTACAAAGAATAAAAACAAACAAAGGGTTAATATCCAAACTTCGAATAATATAATAAAATCTAGAGAAAGAAAGACTAACCGGAGCAAAAGCTGGAAAAGGATTATCAGAGCGGAGGTTCGATTAAGCAAGAAAAGGAAAAAGATCGAGCTCAAAACTTATTTCTATACTTGTTTTTCAACATAAAGATCAAATCTTTTCTACCATTTCTTCCTGTTTCTTACCCTCCTCTTTCCTTAAAGGTTGAATCTTTAAACTAGAAATGTCAAAGATATCTCTGGCTGATATGCAAAATCCCTTGTACCTCCATCCAGGAGATGGACATCATTTGGTGCCAATTTGGAAACTGACTGGTGAAAGCAACTATAGAGAATGGAGAAGTTTGATGGAGATCAATTTGGCCTCTAAGAGGAAACTAGGATTTGTAATAGGGCTGGTGAAGAAAGATTAATCTAATCACACGAAGGCTGATTAATGGGATACATGTAATAGCATGGCTAACCAACAACATTAATGATTCTATTGATCAGTGATGTTCATGAGCACAGCTGCTGAGATCTGGAAACAAGTTAAGATCAAATTTTTGTAGACAAATGGTGCAAGGAAATACATGCTGAACAAAGAAGTGTATGAGATTCAGCAAAATAGTGAGTCTATCAGTGACTACTACACCAGAATCGGGTCTTTATGGGGTGAGATTGATGGAATATATGTGTTTCCTCCTATTACCAATATGACATCTAAGATCAGTGCATTTATAAATGCGCTGAATGTGTAATTGGAGAAACAACAACTCTTTCAATTTTTTAATGGCCTACAAAGCTCAAATACTGCTTAGAAAATTCATATTCTAATGCAAAGCCCTCTGCCGAGTGTGAAGATTGCTTATGCGACTCTTCAATAGGAAGAGTAACAGAGAAAAAATCTGAATGAAATCAAGGGAAAGGGGAAGTTTAGACACCCCGATTGTGTCTCCTCAAAAACCATACCCGGTGAAGAGTACCTTTCACGTCTTTGATTAACGAGTTTGGCAAAGAGTTGAACAGTATTGGGAAGTTCCCTTAAGCCTTGATCATACTCCTAACCTTACCTAAAATGTTTTAATCCAAAATCATTCATTTCGAGTCTTTAAACTCAAAATCATTCATTTCGTGTCTTTAAACTCAAAATCATTCATTTCGTGTCCTTAAAATCATTCATTTCGTGTCCAAATCATAAAAACCTCCAAACCTGATTATTTTGGTCCATGTTCCTGGTACAATTGTTGTTTAGTTAGATAGTGCTTGAAAAGAGCTTTCCAACGATATATTATAAGACCAAATCCGACTTAAAACAAATAAGTTATGGCCAAAATACTAAACCAAACCAAAACCGGACCCAGGTCTACCTTACCTACGACCCAATGATCATGTGAGGGTCCAAATATCTTATTTCCTAATCCTTAACCCATTAGGATTCCTTAGGAACTTCTAGAAATCTCTAGAAGGTCCTAATCTATCCTTTCCAAAAAAATAAAGATAATAAAGAATTCGAAGCCAAATAAAACTTCTCATATGATAATCCTCATCCTATTCGAATTCAAACACATTCGAATATATTTCACGATCATAATTCCATTAGAAATCAAATTCCATAAAAATTATATCATCCTTTAAAACCAGCGCAGAACGCCAGGATCAACGCACCACGATGGTCTCAACGCACAGAGATGGTCCCAACGGAACCCGATGGTCCAAACGCACCGCGATAGTCCCAATGCCCCGCGATGGTCCTAATGCGGTGCGTCAGAGTTAGCGCAGCACCTCAAGAGCAGTTCTACTTCGTTCCAAATTTTGATCTATTTCTGATCGTCCGACACTCTTTTATCCCTATAAATAGAGGACGTTTTCCCCGTTTTTAAATCAGCTAGAACCATCAATCATAAGCTATAACCACCTAGCTCCAATCCTCATCAATCCTTATCAATCATCCATGTTCTTAGCCTAAACACATCCTTGCTATACATCCAAATCAGTCACAATACCTCATTCACGAGATTCGAATACTCCAAGCTATCCTCGACGTTGTCTTCGACCTCTACATGAAAGGTTGATAATTCTGAGGGTTTGGTCCCAAATCTATATTTCCATTCATATTTGATTTATTTACTTGATTGATTTTAACTTTCATGAAATTTACTAACGTGTGTATTATTTTAATAACCAGAAGGTTAAGGCATCAAAGTGAGTAATTTAATCACCCTTATTATTATTCTTTGATTTTGAAGTAGAAATCATGTTTACAATATTATTTTAATTCCTAGTATCATATTTAGGATGTTGATTATGATTTCTAGTATCATATTTAGGATAATGCTTTGATTTCGTTATTAGTTACATGCTAGGAGTTATTAATCTGTTTATTATTATTCTGTGATTTTGAAGTAGAAATCATGTTTACAATATTATTTTAATTCCTAGTATCATGTTTAGGATGTTGATTATGATTTCTAGTATCATATTTAGGATAATGCTTTGATTTTGTTATTAGTTACATGCTAGGATTTATTATTAATCCGTTTAGTATCATGCCCATGATCTTACTAATGATGTTTTGATGATGTTTTTTTTTATGATGATTGTTGTATTAATCATATGTTGCTTAATTATTCATGATTTATTCTTATTGCTTGACCACGCCCCTTTTTGCAGGTTTAAAGGGAATTTGTTCTTGAAATTACGCCTAATAAAATAATTCATAATTTTATTTAGGCTTAATATGACTTTAATTCAAGTGATCATCAATAATAGATTTGATTGTGCATTAATAATCAACCAATGTAGATTAAACAGGTTTAAGATTAACTTGATGTATGTATGTTGATCAAAAACCACACATGAATATCATAATAATTGAGTAGAGGCCTATTTAGGGCGGGTTTAATCTCTTTTAGGTTGGATTTGTACCATCATCCTTAAACATCCAGCCATGGTTCCGGACCACTATGGAGTTAGCGATCTTTGTGTGCGTGAAAGGGGTGTAACCTTCATACTCGTGAACGGTTTACAAGTTCCTAAAACTTGTTATCTCTAGCTTCTTTTCCTTGGAATGCCGCCATGCCTAAAAGCATGAACCACAGTAGGGCTCAAAGATGAGTTGAAAAATTTCCTTACAACGTTTGGCAACTCCACTGGGAGAATTTCTAGATTGCTTCCTAAATTTATTTTGGCAATTGATTTAGAATGAGTAGATGAGACTTAAAAGATTCTAGATATTCATATGCGTAATTTTGATTAACATTGTGGCATAAGCATATAAAGGTTTGCATTGGAAAGACCATCCGTAATGCGTCAGAATAGAAGACAATCCACGTAGGAAAAGTTGGGAATATTTTTCACAACTAAAATCGAAAAGACGCTGCATACTACATTTAAGAGCTAATACAACGGCTTTTTCTGTTGTATTAGGTGTCAAAAAACCGTTGTATTAGACCTAATACAACGGCTAGCAACCGTCACATTTGCTAGAGTTGGATTAGATCTAATACAACGACAAAAGTGACCTAATCAAACGGATTGAGCAATCCGTTGGATTAGGTTCCCTCTTTTTTTGGGAATAATTGGACCTAATCCAACGGATTGCTCGCCCAATCCGTTGAATTAGGTCCTTTTTTTTTAATCCGTTGTATTAGCCCCTTTTTTTTTCCTTCTTCTTTTGATACCGTTGTATTAGACCCTTTTTTTTTAAACTGTTGTATTAGGAAATTATTTTAATTTCATTTTTGGAATATATAATTATATATTATACCTATATATTATATAAAATTAATTAGTTTAAATCTAAAAGGTATAATTTATAATAAATATAAATTATATTAGTATATTTATAATTAAAAATAAACGAAGTGCATATAATATATTCGTTGCATTACAAAATAAACAAAGTGTCGATACTAACTAATAATAAATGAAAGTTCACTAATTAATTAACAATCGTTTGAAATAAAATTAGTACTTGCAATAGATACATAAAATCAACATTAGTCCGTACTTCATTCATCCCGGGGTAGCTCATCGTCATCAATAATAATAATAATAATAATAATAATAATAATAATAATAATAATAATAATAATAATAATAATAATAATAATAATATATTAGGACAAGTAATGTATATAAATCAACATTAGGGACAAATAACAAATAATATAATGCATATAAGCCAAACAAAAGCTAAAACAAGTAATGCATAAGCCACAACAACACAACAATAACAACACCAATTGGGGAAATTAAATAACGCACAACAACACAAACACACAGCAACACACAACGCCAACAACACAACAACACAACACCACACAACGCAGCACACAGCAGCAGCAGGCAGCAGCAGGGCAGGCACATACTTTTATGTATATACTTTTATGCATAAACAATTAACACAGTCCAAGGAAGGCTGCAAAACAACACACAGCACCAACACCCCTTACACCCATAAAGAGCCCCAACAAGGAAAATTACATCAAGAAAAAGGCCTTAAACTAATCATGATTTCTCTTACTAGTCTTAATAGGCATAACTTGTGAGATTTTTTGTAAAAGATATCATTACACAAGGTCTTAATAAGCTTGTTAGGCTTCATCAAAGTCTTATCCTAAACCACTTTGTTCCTCTACCTCCAAATGCTATACAAAAGACTAGCATAGCAGCTCTGCAAAACTTATCAAGACCACAACAACCAACACAACACAACAACTTATCAAGACCACAACAGCCAACAACACAACACACAACTTATCAAGACCACAACAGCCAGCAACACAACACCACCATTTGTTGTTCCTGTTTAGAGAAGTTTAGAAAAGAAAGTTTAAAGCAGAGAAGTGCAGATTGTACCTGATTAAATGATTTTGAAGATTGTCCACTTTGGGCAGTATTAAGGAAATGCATATATTTGTGTTGAATGAAAATTTGTAATACTTAAGTGCTGATTCCATGGAATTATGCAACATTAAATGTACAAAATCATACTTAAAATGTTAAATTTCAGAAAAAGACTAATAGTGGACAACAATTTTCGGAAGCTAATGAAAGTACAACATACAAAATTTGGTAAGTCTCACCTGGCCATTTTTTAGCTTATTAAGTTCTTGCCTAGCCGCTTGTAAGTGCTGCAAGGAGAGCCAATGAATACAGGGTTACTCTCTGAACACTGCCAGTTTACTTCAAAACTAAGTTTAAGCTATAGAAAAGATTCCAAGAAATGGCATACGCTCTATAGTTAGTTAATTACCATTTCATTTGCCATCCAGTGATTGTAGCTATTAGTATACTTGTTAAGGCTATCCTGGGCTATCCGTCCTTTCTCTTCTCTATCATCATTCTACAAGATCAGGAAGGATAAAATGGCTCTTAATAACAGCCTGTTATAAAAATAAGTAATCTCTAGCTAAAAGTTCTTCAGTGAGGAATGAAAAGAGCGCTCACCTCTACTTTCTGTTTCCCCTTAGAGCATGTGTGTTTGAACTCGTCACCATTCCATGAACCATTATCTAGCCAAGATGCACGGCACAGCCTGAAAATTATATCAACACATTAAATGCATGATGGAGAAGAATATAGATAAAAGAAATCAAATTTGTAACAGAATTGTCATATATTTACTTGCAAAAGTGATATTCACACGATGAACATTGCATACTCTTATGAGTTCTAGACATTTCAAAGGAATAGCAGCAGCTTGGGCACCCTTTCATGTTTGTGATTGACTTACTGTAAAACAGTAGATAAGTTATCATCAGAAAGTCATCAAACTAAAGCAAATATTACAGGTACAATTACTACAATAACATCGAGATCATATACAGATGCAACAAAACACCTATAATAAGTACTATACGTAACATTACTATAAACAATCATATAGAATCAATCGTGTTCCAAGGAATAAGATAGGATTAGTAACATCAAGAATAATTGCAGTGTTCAGTTCATGTTTTCTCTAACTGAAACTGATTGTTACTGATTAAGAATGATTTTACTGATTAAAGCATTAAACAGATTGAAGCTGATTCACTAGTGTTATTTGTTTTATGGAATTACTAATCATCAAAACGCCGTAATACAGAATATTGTTTGAATTAGCTGAAGAAAAGAGGCCCTTAAATTCCAAGTCACAGGGATAATGCCATACCAGTTTTCACTCTGCACGACGCATTCCATAGTCCAGTTACAAAAAGTTGAACAGGCAATTGGCTGGTGAGCTTCCTTGGCACACTGTAAAAAGGAAAACTTTGTAACTAAAACAACCAAACTCTGCTCTTTAGAAATTACTAAGAATCAAGTCAATTGATAAGGGCATTTATTGATACACCTGTTTCTGTCTCTGTTAACCATATATTCCATGTATAAATCTTCTATAGTTTACTAGAAAACAGTTAAAAAAAAAAAAAACTAAACTAAAGTCTCACCTTCCAGCAGAAGGTATGGGTGCACTTACAAGTCACCTTGGGGTGGTTATTACCAGTAAGAAGAATCAAAGCATTCTTACATCCAGGACCGGGACACCAGTTAGCCTATACATGTTTCATTGAAGCGATAAGAAACACACAATCACACAAAAATTGTTTTTGCAAAAAAAAAAAACCATCAGACATAAGGGTCTCAGGATCTTTCTGACAGCAAAATAAATCAAGAAGTGAACCAAAGAGAATGCATGTTAAAGATTATATAGCAACATAGAAATCTCACGCACCTTTAAGTTATACTGGATATAAGATTTCAAAAATAAATGCGCATATTTCTCCTTGTCACATCAAAAGCCAGCATGTTAATCATATCTTGACCAACTGCAGCTCTGCAAGAAGTATCAGGACATCGTAACAGTAGGGGTGGCACAATTTCTTTGAGTAACGTCTCAATATAACCTACACGGAAAATAGAAACATAAGTTGATGAAATATGTTTAAGATCACTATAACTTAAATCACATGTTCATCCTCCCCAGATAAAAGTTAACATTACAGATGCAAGCTATTGATTTTTTGCCAATCCAGATAAGTCTCGTTTATGCCAAAAAAAAAATGAGAAACACCACTACTTTCACTCTTTTAGACTTAACGAAGAAAATCCAGATAAGTTCAAACTTCTAAGAACCCATTATCAACTCAATGGAAAAACATTACATAAACTTAAATTGTGAAAAAACAAGTAAAGACCTTCCCAATTCAGTTGAATAAATCAATTCTCACACTGAATCAAACACCCAATTTTCAGGCCCAATCAACAAAATCACAAAAAAGTTTCACCAATCAAACAAATAACCCCATTATCAAACCAAATCAAAAAAAAAAAAAAAAAAAAAAAAAAAAAAAAAACCATAAACCCATCTTGCGAATCAGCCAAACAAACAAATCAACACCTCCAAAACTTGTCAGCTCATAGAACTTGTCAGCTCGTAAACCATCAGCTGCCATAGCAATATCCATGTCTCAATATATCATCACACTTCAAGTAATACACATTAAATCTCATCATTTTTTCTAAACTCCTAAACACTAACTATCAAACAGCCATTTAGTTTAACAAAAGCTAAAATCAATAACTACATAAATATGTTAAGAGGAATATTTGAACCAACATTGCAAACAAAAAATTCAACTTATTCATGCCAAACAGATTAGCTACCAAGTAATATTGATTCTAACCACATTACTACAAACCCAAATCAACCTTTACAATGAAATGCTTTAGATTAGTCAAAACTAATAAGTATAATTAGCAACCCACTTGAAAACATTAAAATTAAAGCAAACCCAGATCATATTTCATGCTACTAATTAGTCAAAAACAGCAAATTTGATGAGAAAATCCACTTCAAAATTAAAAAACAATGCAAACCCAGATCATAATTTCTGACAAACGAAACAAAAATCAACAAAATAGATGAAAAAAAATTAAAGAGTAGAGTACCAACAATAAGAACAAGGCGTTTAGCAGGAGAAGAAAAGCAGAACCAAAGATTCGAGCAGCTAACTTCAACAGGTATGTCAAGTATTCCCAAATAAACCCCCCAAAATAAATTAGGGTTCATAAATCGGAAAACCACCCCAACAACCACCCTCAAGCAATAAATAAGCCACACGCAACATTCGAACAAATCAACAAATCTAAATCCAAAGATTCGAGCAATCAGCCACATGCAAGGTTGAAAACTAAAACTAAATACAAAACAAAATCAATAAATCCATAATTGGTAGACGAAAATTCAAGGTATACCTACCTTAGATAAAGATTCGAGCACAGCAGAATGAAACGGCGAGGAAGGAGAACGAAGCAGCGGCGGCGAGGGAGGAGAATGAAGGAAGACTGAGAAGTTTGGGAAATGGGGTTTCAATTTCATTTTTGGCTCTAATATTTCAGCATTTCCGTCGTTTTTTTTTTTTTTTTTTGACTCATCCGTTGTATTAGGTGTTATTCTTTTTTTCTTTTTTTAATTTTTTGGGGCTGATTCGTTGGATTAGCTCCAACTGAAAAATAAAAAAAACGGGAACACTATCCGTTGTGTTAGAAGAATAATCCATTGGATTAGCTCATCTAATACAATGATTAGTATAAATCGTTGTATTAACCCTGTTTTAGTGTAATACAATGGATTAGCCTAGTCTAATACAACGGTATGAAATTAGCCGTTGTAGTAGCTATTTTTGTACCGTTGCATTAGATCAAAAATGTAGTAGAAATCGGAAAAAAAAAATATCAAAAATTGAAACTACCGCAGAACGTTAGAACTATCGCAGGACGTCTGAAACCATCACCGGACGATAGTTGTATCATGTCGCGATAGAGCTATCGCCGGACGATGGTTCCTGCCTTCCAGCGATGGATTAGGCGATTTTGCACCGGCTTTCTATCTTCCTGTTTTGCCGATTCTAGTACTGTCTCGACGATTTTTCTCCCTGATTATGTTTTTCTGACTTTTCTAAACCCATATGTGTTTTACATATGGTTTTAGCCCTTCGGAATTCACGCTCCCTCCACCCTATTAAACGCTATGTGCAATAATGGGTGCATCCGAGTTTGTTGAATTCACCAAACCATGGAGTTGAGTTTAACTCCCGCGGTCCCGTCCATCGTGCCAAGGTAAGCCTTCCGCGCGATGCATCCGGACTCATAATCGTGGACCCTCTCACCATAATCCTTGACCTTAGAGAACTAGAGCCACGGTTAGGTGGCAAACTCATTGCATCATATTGTGACTACTTGACTACTTGTGCATATCTTACTTGTGCATACCTTGTTTGTGATTAAACTAACCCTTTGCTTGTAAATGAATTTGACTTGATGTCTTGACTTGCTTCTCGTACATATGACTTGTGTATACTAATCCAAAGGACATTGCTCAATTAATTTGGTTAATTAATATCAACTCACAACAAATGAATATGCTTAACCTAGAGGGCTAAAGGTTTAAACCTTCAAAAGAATCACTGAAAACATATTACAGTGATGACCCAATTATAGGCGCGTCCTTTTGGTCAGTGATGCAGGACGTTGGTGTCCAGCGCGCCACAATAGCCTTGTCACGCCACGTTAACGCCAACGCCACGCGATGGTTTAGCCGCTTTTTTCCGAGTCTTCGTGTCGAGTCCCACTGCTACGATTAACCTTTTTAATGTCCATGCATGCTTGGTCTTTTCTTGATCTTGTTTGATTTTAACCACGTGTCTAGTCACATGGTCATGACACGAGTCTTGTATATATCACTTACACCCACGAGTCTTTGCACACACTTTGTACATACTTTTTTCACACCATGACCATGTCTTAGGTCCATACATGAGTCATCCGTTCCGTCATTTGATATGAGGGTCCATTCTATCCCGGATTTTTCCATATTTTTCCATAAATACTCTTTTTCCCTTTACATCATTACATACCTTAAAATTTCCATCTTATAACACTTTCCACCTTCTCTCTTCTTACATTCTTTCCCCATACATATCATTCACCTCATACACTATGATCTTTCCCCATATATGCATGTTGAATCGAGTTCGAGTCATGTGATTGACAATGAGTATTTATGGTTTCCCTTTCCACAGCGTTTGGTCAAGGAAAGAAGGGCGCTTAATTTGAGAGAATACCTTTGTACAAGTACTCCTTTTCCAAAACACTCACTACTACATTTTTGACCTATTGCAACCCCCAAATCCGTTGCATTAGGCGTCAAATTCCGTGGCAATAGGCCTAATGCAACGGCCATGTACCGTGGCATTTGCTGGCGTTGCCGTAGGTCTATTGCAACGGTATACAACACCTAATACCACGACAGCTATAATCCGTTGCGATAGCTCTACACCTAATGCCACGGTATAAATTATCCGTTGCAATAGATTACTTACTACTAATTTTGATGAAATTAACACCTATTGCAACGGCTGAAGTTAATTAATACAAATTATATATGGAGTACGTATCTACTGCAACGGATTGATCATTTGATCTTTTTTTTTTTTTTAATTGTACAGTAATATAATATATGTATAAATAGTCAGTACAAATCTAAATATACTAAGAAACAAAATATCATTAAATTTATATAAAATAATTATAATGCTAAATACGTACATTATAAAATATTAGTTGCTTGTTTTTTGTATGACACCCTACTAATAATAAATAAAAGTTATATAATTAATTTAATCCTCCAAAATACAAATTTTCAACATATATATGAGCCGGAATTTCCAAATCTTCACAAAGTTGAGCTTGAATAAGAGACGCCAACATATATGCACCATTTGTTAAATGGCTAGCTAGTTACTATGCTTCAGCTCCATTTAGCTCCCCATGCACCTACACGTAAAATAGAATAAAGTAATAGAAATATAATAGAACTAAATTATAAATTACACTAGATCAAGGCCACAATCAACATGAGAAAAGTTCAAAACGCACGGAGAATTCAGCTATACAATAATACTCATGTTAGACCGCAGGCCACAACAGCAGCACCCTGAAGCCAATACAGGCAGCAGTCAACCCAAAACCAAACAAAAACACAACAGGCACAAAACAGGCTGCAAGCAAGTAGAACCCTGAACCAGAGCTGATGATCTGCCACTATCAGATCCAACACTAAAACCAAACTAAAAGCGGCAACCAACAGCAACCATAAGCCAAATAAGGAGGGCACACACCAAACACATCTAAAAAACAATAAACCAGGGCACCCAGCTATCCATACAACGAGTAAAAACAGCCCCCCTCCCTTTCACATCAATTTCCCCTATTTTACAGACTTTCAAGAATGCAATATCTTCAGAAGAACAGCAACTAAGTCTACTCTCCCTTTAACCATTTTTTACCAACAAAATTGGGTGTTTGGATCAAAATAAAGACAAATTTAGAGCACTAGATGTCCTATAGTTATCAAAAGCAACATAACAACCAACATAAACATCCCAACATTGCAGTAGCACAAAAGCTTAAAGAAGTCACATTTTGATATTGATCTGAGATTGTTTTTTATTGTTTATATATCTTGTCACTGTTTTCCAAGCTTCATTATGTACATTTGTCAATTTAAGCTTGCCAAAATCAATTAAACTTAAAGTTAGCCATGTATACAAAATCAAAGATCCTAATGCTCTTTTAATATATAGATAATAAAACAGGAGAATAAACCAAAAAAAAATAAAAAAATCCCTTAATCAGAATTGAGTAGGATAACTACTATACATGCAACAAAATTATACAAAACCAAGCAAAGTACTTCAAAGTGATAAATTGTCTTTGTCAAGCTTTATCTTCGTATTATAATACCACCTATCACTCAAATTAATTCACAAAATCATGCATAAATGAATAAAAATCGACATTAGACCGTGCGAATCAAATCAAAGCTATAAAATACTCCAAAAATAAATTTTAAGGCTCTAACATATTAAAACGTACACTAACAAATTTTTAGGCAAATGAGGGAATCACCTCCCTCACTTCCCCTCTTACTCAAAATGACTTCAGCAACCCTATGGGCATACCAAGCTTCAAGAGATGAATAATTGTAATTTTTTTTATATCTTATTTAGATAATGAGATACTCCTTGGTTAAATAAATAAAAAGATTAGGAGGAAAGAGATAAAAGGTTGACATCCAGATAATAAGGAAGAATTAGGTACTTATATCATTATAATCCCATAGAATTCGCAAGCTATAGGACAACGAGCTGATCAAATAGACTCAAAACTCGACAGTAAATCACGAAAAATACCAGAAACTGCAACTTTCATCAAAAAATTCTGATGAATATTAAAATTAACAAATAACAATCAAGACAACAAATTTATTATAAATTAGTTATACAATTAACAAAAACCACTGCATATAACAATCAAAATTTAAAAAAAAAAAGAACAGTATTCATTCAAATTTGCAGTGTTACCGGTGAATATATGTCAATGACAACATCTATATCTTATTAAATTTCTTTCAGGGTACTTACAAATGAATAAGCAAGTGTCATATTTTCATGGAGTAGTTGAGGTGGAATTGAGCCAGAGAGTTGATATCTTCCAAAGTGACTGGCAAAGTGGCAATCAATAGACAAACAACAAGAAATTGAAAATTAAAAGATTGAAAGAGGGCAATACAATAATGGTGAAATTCGATAAAGAATTCAAGAAATTTTCAAATCAAAAAATAAATGTGTCAGACATACAAGTGCTTACAACTATGCAGCATTTCAAGACTTGGTTTAGTCCCATTTGAGACAGGTAATGTTCCAGTAAGCTTGTTTTCAGCTAGATCCAGCCAATACAAACATGAATGTGGAGTTTTACTCTAACCAAGCATCTAATTGATCCTGGAAGGGATTCATCATTACCCAGAATTTTCCCAGCCAGAGCAAGCATTGGATTAACGACATTATTCTCACATAAGTTCAGAGGTACCTCATTGATATGAACCCAAAAAAAAAAAAAAAAAAAAAAAAAATTAATTATCGATGATTGGCATTATTGACTATGATGTATTGTTACCGTGAGATTAGATAATGGGAGTTACACAATAACAATAATGATTTTTGAAATGGATTGAATTAGGGTATCCTATAAACAAACATTACGAATATATTACATTAGAAATTTCCCTCGTTTTTGGAAGGGCTTCCTAATGATTAATTTTTCTTACCTTTTCACAAAAAAAAAAAAAAAAAAAAAGAAAAAGATAAAATATATTACTATCCATATTTCATTTTTTTTTAAAAAAGGTACCTAGCTTATTGTTTCATAATGCATTTCAGCCCCAGCAAAAGTAAAGAAAATGAGCATATATCCCACAAAGTAAGAAGTAATGACCAAGGACGACATTAATTCTTTTTATATATATAGAATATCAAGTTTCGTTGAATGTTTCTACTTTCTAAGGTATATATCATTTGCAGTTCAACTTTGTGCAGCCATAGATATTCCAAGACCAAGGCAGCTGCAACGGTCAAAAGAGATTCATCAACCTCCAAACACTAAATAATTGAGTACATACGTTGTCTATATACACCAGACTACCCGAGTTTACGTAAACTAAGTACATTCGAACCATATTATAAACCCGGATGTATAATAGAAAGGCTATAGCGTATATACTTGGTACTCCGTATTATATATAATGACAAATATTTGCATAAGATGAACATCTATTATCCAAGAACCATATGTGATTAAATAAACATAGTTACTAAAACTGTCATCAAATATGCCAATACTCAGTAGCCCACTACAAGTTTGGGTACGGTACACAATTCGGTACCAAAGTATTGTTAATCAAGCCAAAATGCAATAGAAATAGCGATTATACCTGACTCCAAAACATAACGCACTTGTCTCATACGAAATTTCTATCAAGACCCCAATCCCATTGCACCCCATTCCCCAAACACATAATTCAGCTTTTCCAAATTGTAATATACTAATAAGCAGTAACCATGCTCATTTCCAAAGCATTAATATACTATTTTGCTCTATCTCACCCAAATGAAACACAATGCCCTTAACCAATTCCAACATGAATCGTCTATAAGCACCAGTTACTAGACATTATAACACCAACTATAGTAATCTACTGTCATTACCTATACCATAACATTTGCATTACCATAACCAACAAAACAGCCAAAGCACACTTATTTGCAAGTTAAAAATCTTACAATTTTCCAATAAGCAAACCAAATACTAACAATATGATCAAAAATTTATAACAAAAACTACTAAAAATCAGAAATTAAAGATAATAGAAGGAACAAGCACAGAAAGACGAGAAACCCAAACGAAAGAAATTTAACCTGACAGTTCTCGAGGAATTAAATTGTTTTACAAACGAAAGATATAGAGGTAGAAATGCAATAGAAATAGCGATTATACCTGACTCCATTATTGAGCTACCAAGCGACCAAGAACACCAGGTCCAACAATTAGCAAATCAAAACCCTAGAAATCGAAAAAAATAAAAAATTTTAACTAGTAATTATGCAAAGGAACCCTAAATTTGAAATTTAAAGAGGAAAGTTTGAAGAAGCTCATACCATGAACACCAATCAAAACCCTAAAAATCGAACCGCATCGTCGTTATCACTCGCGACCACCATCACCACCGTGACCATCAGTGAATGAGGAGGATGAAGAAAGAGAGAGAATTTAATTTTGTGAGCGACGGTGGTTGTGGATGTGGTTGCGGCTGCGGTGATGGTTGCCTTCGTCTTGGAGGAAGAGAATAAGGAGAAGGAGAGACAGAGAGAGGAGTGAGAACTGAGGTGGTGAGATCTGAGGAGAGTGAACTAATTAATTAAGCGCATTTTCATACGGAGTGAACTGCCGTGGCCATAGCCTTTCAGGTCGTTGTATTAGTACACCTAATGCAACGGCTTCTTAAAGCCGTTGCGTTAGCTCCACCTTTTGATGTACAAAGTTTATGCCGTTGTATTAGGCTTATCTAATGCAACGACAATAAAATGAGCCGTTGCACTAGCTCTTTTTAGTCGTTGCATTTGATTAAAAATGTAGTAGTGACTGCACGGTTCGAAAGAAGAAGAAACCAATGGCGGCCAAATAAGAAGATGTTGACAGAATTCAAAAGACCGTAGATGATCTGGTTGAACTGGTCAACGAACTCACCACTCTAATGGAGAAGGTCGAAGACCCTGGCAAATATGTTCCACCTAAGACAATCAAGCGCATCAAAGAGGGTCTAAGTCAAGTTTCCAATGATTATAAGTATCTTGACATGAATACCAAGGGAATCTCACTGAACAAGGAACTTAATTTGCACAATTTTTCTACCACTGACATTCCTAAGTTCAAGCCTACAGATAACCCTTACTTCCACCTGAAAGCTTTTGAAACAATCATGGGAATCATGGGGGTTGATAAGAAAGCTTTCCTCTCACTTTTCTCTCTTTCCTTAGAACCAGTATGTCAACAATGGTTCTTTCTATGGACTCTGAGAAAAATGGCTACTTGGGATAGTATTATGCATACTTTCATTGACAGGTACAAGTACAACATACAAGTAGAGACTGACTATAGAGAGCTCAAAATCCTTAAGCAAAAGGACAGTGAAGGCTTTTCCGAATTCTATAATAGGTGGAAGGAAGTTTCTGCTAAGATGATTAAGGCCCTAGATGAAAAAGACTCTGTGAGAATGTTCATAAAAAACCTTCAAGACAAATATTATAAGCACCTAAAATATCAACGATTAAGCACCTTCAAGGCTGTCTATGACATAAGCATTAATATTGAAGATGACCTCTTAAAGGCTAACCACAATGGCAATAATGGCAAGAGCAGGAAGAACGACAGTCCTTCTTCCGCTTCTTCCCATATAGCAACTACATCAACAACATTGATGCTGGTGAAATCTGGGCCCTTGATAAAGATGCTTCAAAAGCTAAGAAACCCAAAAGAGAATTCACACATATTGGAATATCCTATGATGTTGCTTTTGATCGTCTCTACGATCAGAATTTGATCAAGCCTTTTGGTCCCAACAAGGACCCAACACCAGAAAAGTGATCTTCAAGATGGAATCCCAACTCTTATTACAAGTACCATCAAGGCAATGGTCATACCACAGATGAATGCTACAGGTTTCAAAACCTCATTCAAGATCTTATTGATGCAAACAAGCTTTCATTCCCTCCAATCAGCAAGAAGACCGAGTGATAATGAAATAAGGCACAAGACACTTCGATTTTTAGGATTTTCATGATTTTTCTTTCTTATTTTTGATTTCCCTTTCCCTTAATAAGTCTAGCATAGACGCCCTCCATCATTTCTGAGATTTCCTTCATGAGTTTGTTTTTACCCTTTCCATTTCAATAAAATGAGCATTTATTTCCTTGCATATGATCATTGCATTGCATTTCATTAAATCAAAAAAAAAAAATCCATGCTGAACTAAGCATAAGGTATATCAGTGATTTGAGGCACCCCTTGTAGCCACATCATATCACCTTTACCCCTTTCAAATATACAATCCTTTCTTGATAAACCACTTTGAGCCTCGTCTAACGATTGTCCTTTCTTTCTTCAACCCACATCTACCTAAACTTGGGATGGGATGGTGTGCAACTTATGCAATTTTTAAAGCCAAGTACAAAAGCTTAAGTAATTTCAAAAGTTCAAGAAACAATAAAAGTGTGCAAAAGGGCAAGTGTTCCAATGTCTTTGATATGAACACGTCTCAGATTGCGTATTTTATCGAGTGCTCGACACTGTGCCTGAGAAACATGAATTCCAAGTGAGTGATAGATCACATGATTGGGATTGACCACACTTATCCAAAGAAAATTCAAATCTCAAATCTCAAATGCAAAAACAAGTGAAAACAAGAGCGAGAAATCTTAAGCATACAAATACTAAGATTCAAATGCAAGGTTGCACACCTTGGGGGCTTATTTTGAGTCTTGAGCCTTTATCCCTTCTTCGATCTTCAACCTTTAGCTTAACCCCGTTACAACCCTAAAAGACCTCTTTGAGGTGTAAACACACTTGTGCGAGGTTCGGCTAGAGCTACATTCGACCTGATTTCTAACGGATACGTAGGCAACCTCACACTGGGGTGCAACTGTAATAAAAATGCATTCATTCACATACATGCATAATCATATCAAGGGATCTCCAAAGCTCATTCCTATCCATTTAGAGCTAGACTTGGGGACTTGATCCCTACTTCATTAGCCTACCCGGCCTAAGAGTCACAATCATTTGGCTCTTCTCAAAATATTATTCCACACCCTTAGACTTTGCAGCCTAACCTTAGTGTCACTTTCACACACATCACAAATGCATAGCTGAATAATCCTTCCCTTAAGAACCCTTTATTATGAAATCTTGGTGTAACTCTGAAGCGTGTCTTGTCATCTTAGAATCACTCATTGTCGCATCACAAAGTTTGCGGTACTTAGCCTCCGTGCCTAAATTACCCAAATACTTTCATTATCAGATCAACAACTGAGATAGCCTGGGATACTACAATCCTTGCACCATGAGATACAACGATTAATGCATACAGTTGATTAAGCTCATTCAACACGCATCATTACTTGATTCATTCTTTTCATCCTTTTCCTTTTGGGGAAGCTAAGTTAAAAAACTTCACTTTCACAAATACTTTACCTCTTTTCATTCCACATCTTTCTTTTCGGTAGAAAGTCGGTACCCTCCACAAAAGTGACGGAAAATATTTTCTTTTCTGCATTTTTAGTTACACGAGCACAATCACAACACAATGCACACACGGTCATGCACATTGAGTCATGTCATGTTACCACATCGAGTTGAGTTTACACAAACGAGTCGTATGCACGACATACATAACGAGTCATATCCCGTTGAGTTAAGCCTGCACACACGAGTCATGTCGTGTCAAAACACATCGAGTCGATTTGAGTACATTGAGTTACACAATAAGTCGAGTTACACCAAGCCTTGAGTCAACATCAATCCAACCAACTGTCAAGGTCCTTTGGCAAAATTTAAATTTTTTGCAGGGCTTAGGTACATTACCCCCACTGACAATTTTCCAAGATTGGATTGTCATCTCAATTGGCAATGTTTCCAAGAGTGGATTGTCGCGCATCTTCCTCAACTAACAATTTTTCCAAGATTAGATTGTCACCTCAACTACCAATGTTTCCAAGAGTTGATTGTCACGCACCTTCTTTGTTCGGCAATTTTTTCCAAAAAATGGATTGTCACAAGTCATCTCCTTGGAAATTTTTCCCGAGATTGGATTGTCATTCACCAAGTTCACTATGGCAAAATTTCCCCAAAGAGAATTG